TTATCGAACCAGTCATCCACGTCGGTCTCATCAGCTCCGCTGAAGACTTTGGGCTCTCGCAAACGAAGAACGCCGGGGTTGCTGGGGGATGGAGTGGAAGAGCCAGGTTGCGCGTTGTTGGTAGCCATGATGGGAGGTAGCGTTCGGTTGCGCAGCTCCAGGTTTAGGCCACGGCGAATGGCAGCACCCAGGTTCAGGCGACGGGGAATGTCAGCACCCTCCACCAATTGAAAAAGGGTTTATTGGCGACTGTTGTGACGGTGGTCCTACGACGAAACACGATCGGACAAGAGCAACGGTCAAGCAGATGCCGGCGATGATCAGCACGAGCCGAGCCAGACAAGCCCAGCACCCAGTACCCAAGCGACGGTGGCGATGTTGCTTGCCAACAATGCGTTTTCTTCTTCACACTTTGATGTTCTAAAATGCTTTATTACTCACATTAACGTGATTTCTTTACTGGCATCAAGCCTTCCTAAGGCCAGTTTAAAAACGAGTTCCAAGCAGTGGTGTGGCTCAGTGGCAGAATATGGGCTGGCAGACTGTGTACCCGGGTTCAAATGCTCTTGTGTCATTGGTATCTTTATTTATTAAGTTCCAAGCACTGGCGTGGGTCAGTGGTAGAATACTGTGCAGGCACGCAGCAGACCCGGGCTCGAATCCTATTGTGTCATTAATGTTTTTTATTCACCGAGGTTTTTTTTTTTTTTCCGTACTGGTTCCGGACACCGGCGGCTGCGACGGACAACTACGGTGTCGCACGTAATCCATGTTCTGGTCTTATCACAGCTTTCGCTGCTAAAGCACTTTCTGCGAACAGTAAGACATACATCAACTGGCCTCACGGCAGTCGCTGGCCAAGGGTGCAAATGTTTCCCTTAAAAATTCCAACACAAAGGCCGTTGACGCGCTCCGAGCAGACACGGCTGACATCGGCCATCCCGGAAGCCTTGCGTCCCAGGTCGACGGCACCAGCATCGCCCATTCCGGTGTCCCCTGAGTGCATGTATGCTGCCGAAGACAAGTGTTCTGATGAGACATGTCGTGTACTGTCTGGGCGCAGAGCGAATCAGCTCAATGTGACTCTCGTCGTCATCGATTCTGCCCCTGACTGGTCGCATGGTGACCAGCTCGACCAAAGAAATGAAGTGCCCTCAAAATTTTACAATGGTTCGACAAGGGGCACAGCTCCGATGGCGTTCTCGTGTACCGACGTGATATACAGCCACTAGAAACTAGCGTTTATCCTAGTTAGCACAGAACTGAAAACTGCGTTGGTAGCAATGTAGACACTGCTACGTTGAGTCACGTTCAAGCTTGCAGCTTGTACGATCTAGTACACTTTTTTCGCAGCGCAAGTGTTTGCCTGTTCAAAACGCTGATGCGCATGGAGATCAGTGCCCCAAACTGTGACAACAGCATTGCCTGCTAAGCGTGCTGCGGCCGCAATGAGAAAGCTAAGGCTGCCCGCCAAAGAGGATTTTGACAGCTCTCCATCAAAAAGAACTTGTTGTTGGGCTAGTTGTTACAACATTTCTAAAAGTTAATTTGAGCGCGAACAAACGACACAAACACTCACACACGCACACACCCAGGCAATGTTGTGGCGTGGCCGAGGCCTGCGGCGACAACGAGGCAGTTAAGCTCGGCCACCTGAGTCTTCGGCGCTTCTGCAAAAGAACAACCACCCAAGCACAGTCAGAGCCGCCTGCCAGGGACAGTTCTGCTGCTCGACCACCATGCAGTGCCGCAGCATGGCCGAGTGTAAAGAAGATAGTGCTGTTATGGTCAGGGCACACGCTAGGCAAGCTGGAGGTAGAGGAAGAGAAAAGTACAATAAGAACAGCCGGCCTGCAGCAAGGGTGCTGTCCCTCATTTGTCTTTCTGTACGAAAACATATTAGTTATGACATTGCCTTCCTTGTTCCTTAATGCATACATCCGATTTTTTATGCACAATTTTTCCTTCGCAGCTTTCAGGCTTCTGCCACTTTTTACAGCCTGCTCAATTCTCTCCACATTATGCCTTCTGACATCTGCTACCTAATGACTATTTATTACTACCTAATGACTATTGATTAACTTCGAAAGCTCCACTAGCTCAATTTTGTGGACAGCATTTGAAGCTTTCGTAGTTTGTCACCTCTTAATAAGGTTTTTCATCTCCTGAGATAGTTTGCCAGTGTCCTGGTCAACGTTAAAGTCAGTTAACTCATTTAGAGCTCGAATCTACTCCGAACCAAAACTCTGAATTCCTGTGCTTTCCCTCTCATCGCTAGCTCGTTAGTTGGCTTCTTGCATATCAGTTTATGCCTTAGCTTTTTATATCCAGATGAATTTGAGCTCTTAACATTCTATGGTCACTGCATCGAATCTTGCCAACTACTTCTACATCCTGTACAATGCCTGGGTGTGCACACAGAATGAAGTCTGTTTCTTCTTTAGTTTCGCCATTAGTACTTTGCCACGTCCACTTACGGTTAGCTCATTTTTTTAAGAAGATGTTCAACATTCGGAAGTTATTACGTTCTGCGAACTCTACTAATGACTCCCCTTTGGCATTTCTAGAGCCGATGTTGTATTTCCCCCAGTAAAATCAGGTTCTCTTCTCGATGTAGAAGAAACCACTTCTCCCCACTCGGCGCCCGAGGCGCACCACCCCGGTGGTGTAGCAAAGTGGGAGAAGAAACGTACACCACTATCCCAATAGCGGCTATTGGCCTGCTGGTCGCTTGACGATGAAGCAGAAGCAACGCTGAAGAAGTTCTAGATGGCCGAGAAAAACTTGTATTTACAGATTTTACAAAACAATGGACATCAATGTTACAAAAAAAGAAAAGAAAAACAACTTGGAAATGAACCGATTTCTGTAGGGCGACCCTACGAGGTTCGGCAGAGCCGATGGTGCCTAACACCGCAAGCTCGGTTCAGAACACTTGGCGGAGCCCCGGGGCCTCTTCTTATCGCTTCCTGGTGCTCCACCCTTACAACACTCTCGGCAAATAATCACCTGCTTGTCCTTTGATTGGACCGTACAGTAGGTAGATCAACAAAAACCGCCACGAGGATGCCGCCTTCGTGCACGTGGGACTCATGCACTCTCCCCAAACAACACCACAACCAAAACGTAAATAAAACAAAACTAGAAAAAGCATAGAGGCCAGGGCCAGCTTCGCGGCGCACAATTATCTAGACAGAGCTAGCCGTACTCAGTATTGCGGCCGTAGGGCGACTTCCCTCTACCCCGTCAATTTCTTGACGACGGGGCTATAATCCTCTTGCCTCTGTGCGCCGTACGAGGAACTGCTCGCTGACCGCGCATGTTTCTGCTTACGAGCTCCTTTGCCCGGATAAACGGGGACGCAGTCGAAGACATGCCCGATTCAACAATAGGCAACCCAGGCGGCGAACAGGCGGCGGTTGCCATTTCTCGTGTCGCGAGCCCGCTTCTGAGAGTTACTGGACCAAAGCCGGACCGGCAGAAAAGGTCGTCGGTGACTTCAGAGTTTTCGCAACGCGCGCCGCCGATTCTGCAGGCACGCAAACAGTACGTGGCCGGGCCATACGCCGAACCGATGCGAGGAGTCACTGCGGTGCGCAGGGTCTCGGAAGAGGTTCGTTGATGCGCCGACTGCCAGTTCCGAGAGGCAATTAGGGAGCCGTCACAATGACGTTTATAATCTCACCCCTTTTGTTGCCCCGGTTGGTTCCCTTTTCCTAGAGTTAATGGTAACTCAAAATGCTCGACCATCTCTGGCGTTGAACAAAGCAGGGTGATATGCTGGCGCCGTGTGTCTGCGCTCGCGGCAAAACCGGTTAGTCGCGCTTCGACCGCTTGTCACTCAAACAACGCTGGCTGCCCGCGGCTGACATGCCGTCCCAAGCTTACGCCGCAAAGCAAATAAAAGCACACAAAAATTGCCGCGCTACGAATTCTTACCGCAGTCCTACACCCCCCTTGCATGGTCTCCGGCTTGCTTCTTGCCTTTTTGGCATTAAGGTGGCCCCTCAGAGTAGTATACTGTGACTAATTTATTGGTGGCCGATTCTACGTTTTCATAGAAGCGTTCAACCAAATGATCATCATGGCTCAATGTAGGCGCTTTGGCTTGTACCGCCTTCATCTTGTAGCTTTTGCTCAACTTGATTATGATGCTAGCCACGCTCTGACTGATGCTGTAGTATTCCTCTATGTTGCCAGCAATGTTCTTGTATGTGAGAAACCCTACCCCTAGTTCTTTTCTGTCAATTAATACCAGGTAGCACAGGACATGTCCGTTCATCAGCACTGTATAAACCTCATGTGTCCTCCATAAGCCTCATGTGTCCTCCTAACTCCGCTGAGCCCTATTAAATCCCATTGAACACCCTCCAAATCCTCGAACAGGACAGTTAGACTAGGCTCACAAGATAGCATTCTAGCGTTAAAGGTAGTTAAATTCAGATTCCAATGGTGGCCTGTCCGTTATATCCAGGTTTCAGATACGTACACATTTCGTTATATCAAGGTATAAATGTATACAAGTTTTCCACAAATTCGAATACTGCGAGAAGTAACATTCCAGTGCGAATCAAATTGAACAGCAAGCAGTACCATAATAAAAGTACATGATTGAGAGTTTATATATTCTCATAACCATATTTTGTGAGCAAGTCCAAGTTTTTAACCCTTCTTTTGCCTTTGACACACTAGAGTTTTAATCATGTAGTACCATGATCTTGAGGAAGAAATGTGAGAGGCTTTGCAGTATGTGGTCAGCAGACAGGCTATGTTGACCACCTGAACAGCAAATGAAACACAGCATGGCTTCTCGGTTGTCTTATGACCCTACTGCACACAGTTCTGAGGGGCCGAAGTCACCACCAAAGCCGAGCCAGTCACACAAAATTCCTTCACTGCAGACACACAAGCGAGTACGGTTATGCATACGTAGCGCCTGCACATAGAACACACACTGCACAGACTCAGTGACACTTCGGACAGAGTGAGCCAAATCGCACCTGTAGCAGCTGACAAAGTGGGCATAGGCTACGGCGATCCAGTTTTGATGACCCTTGACCATGCACACCCGGAGATTGTCAGGCCATGTTGAAACACCTGCCAAAAGACAACGCTATTTTCAGTGGTACCAGGGCCAGGTTTGGCCAAACAGTGACCTGCTTGATTATGCCAATGATCTACAATGGTAATATGTAGTATGGCTCTAAGGTCACCTAGAAACATGCACTCGGATGAAGCATAAAATATATATACAGTGAACTCTTGTTAAGATAAACTCAATTTAGACAAATTCTCGCTTATACCAAACAACATCGGCACATTTGTTTGGTAAAAGCTCTGCTTAAGGGCTTTCAGTATGAACTTTCTAAATTCTTTCTGGATATTTATAGAAATTGGCACACTTGTAGGAAATATTTTTGTAATGCTAAAGTTGAAATTTCATGAACATACCTTTATAACTTTTTGGTGCATAATATATTTCTCCTTCTGGTCTTGCTCAGAGTCTGACTTCCTTAAAAACATATTAAAAAACTATTTCCAAGTGCTATGCATTCTAAGACATCTGATCAAGAACATGATTTTCAAAAAAAATTTTTTACTTGCAACACAATTTTTTAGTACTGATTTTTCGTTATTTGACTGTGCAACAGGTGTCGAAACTGTGTGCAACATGCAAAATATTTAATTATTAAAAGGCCATACTGAAAAAGTAAGAATGCCATGCCCTGCACCATATGTCTACATTCAAGGAATATAGGCATAACTGCGGTTACGGGGAAATCAGTGGGACAAGCGAAGCAGGAAGCAAGAAAAGCCGTTTTGAGCAAATGGCTTTCAAAGTTGTACCAATGATATTCCATTATCAAAAGGCGCTGGAGTCATACCGTATTTACTCGCGTAATCTTCGCAGTCGCATAAATCTCCATCCCTTCCATTGCCCAACAAAAATAAGTTCTTCTTGGCGAGTAATTATCGCACCTCTAAAAATTGCAGCATTAATGTTGTCTGCTTTTTTTAACTACTGATGCATTAATAATAGGGCTCGACAACCTGGTGTCATCTCTTAAAATGTATGCATACAACAGTCGAATCTCATTAATTTGAACACGCTTAATTCAAACTTCCGGTTAGTTCAAACTCACTATGAGGTCCCGTCAAAGCTATGTGTATTTCAATGGGCGAAAACGGCTGGTAAATCGAACGCGCAAGCACTTGCAACAATTAATTCTAACATACCGCACTCGGAAAATGCTCTCAGCACCCCACCCAACCGCGGCGGCACCTGCGACACCTCAACGCTGTGCGTGAAGGAAATGAAAAGGAGAGAAAAAAAAAAGGCTGCAATGGTTTGCTCTCTCTCAAATGCCGATCTGTGACGCGCCTGTGTCATGCTTTTCCCTTTTCCGTCCCTGCCACGTAAAAACCCTTCTCTTCCAACGCCGTGCGCGAAGAGAGAGAGAGGGGGGAAAAATAAAAAAAGAAAGCTATCGCTGGGTTGAATAAATGTGTGGGTGAAGGAAAAGAAAAAGGCACTGTCTTCTGCAGCCCTTGCCCCTTGCGGGAGCACGGTTCTGCGCCTTGAGGAGGGGGGTCTCTCACACTTCCCCCTTTCCCGTCCCTATCACGTGACCCTTCTCCTTTCAACAACGTGCGCGAAGAGAGAGAAAAAAAAGCTGCAGTGGCGTGTCGGTTTTCTCTCAAATGCCGATCTGCTTCTCTCCGTGTGGAGACGCTCATACTTTCTTGTCACGTGCTGGCCATGCTGCGGCTGCGTAGCAGTCGTTGTCGTAATTATTAGAAAGTGTCGGCGCTGGACATTTCCGCGCGCAACTTTTCTTGCCAGGAGAATGCTGAAGCCGAAGTAGAAATGCTTTGCAAGCAGAGTGCGAAATTGATTGAATCGCTGCAAGGCGATTGTGTGCAGACACGCATAACCGATTACTTCAATTAATAACAGATGTCCTGTGATTTGTGAATAAATGTAAGTCTTCTGAAAGTTCCCCCTCGTGTGTTAGCTCAATGCACATGCGCCACTGCATGGAGAGCCCTCCGTTTATTTAGCTTTCATTAACTTGAACTTCTTTTAATTGAACACTTTTTCAGGTTCCTTCGAGTTTGAATTATGAAGATTCAACTGTATCAATACATGGAGCTCCAATCCAGTCCATTGACTGATATGTGGGGTTTAATGTCCCAAAACCATCATATGATTATGACAGACGCCGTTGTGGAGGGCTCCGAAAATTCGGACACCCTGGGGTTCTTTAACGTGCACCCAAATGTGAGCACACTGGCCTACAGCATTTCCGCCTCCATCAGAAATGCAGCCGCCACAGCCATAATTCGATCCCACGACCTGCGGGTCAGCCGCCAAGTACCTTAGCCACTAGACAACCACCGCAGTGCCCCAATTCAATCTAAGCAAGGTCAAAACGGCAAGTGCACATTGCGTCATCTTGGTGTACGCTGTGTCTGTTCTGTGGTTACGCTATGAAGAGCAAGCACCGAACTGCATGGCTGCTTTGAAGTTGAAAGGGATTGACCATGCACTAAACAAAGGCAACAGGGCTGCTGGTAGGCATTTCGGAGTAGACGAGTTTGGTGTTCGCTACTGGTGACAACAGCAGGGGCAGCTGAAAGCCACCAAGGGGCACTGGGGCTTCCATGTGCCTGAGACTGGGATGGATAGTAAAACTCAATTTTGTCAGACGGTTACTGCAGAGGATATCACGTTAGGTGACAATCAGCCCAAGGTCGACGTCGTACGCTAATCAATTGTAGGCTCTCAGTGAGTGAGGAACGCTAACGCTACGCCCACAAGCTTTAATACGATAGTTTAAAACTCCCGACTATTTGCTTGCAGTCTTTGCGCCTCAAGTAAATCAAGTTTTCTGTTTAACCTGTGGTTTTATTGTCAAGGCAAGTCTTGATCGTACGTTTCAAAGCTTATAGTTAGGTGCTAGCGTGATAATCCCGACTTGCAGCCTCTTCATGTTTTTTTTTTTTTTCTGCTCTGTATGTTTTTGCGAAAAATTTTTCTCGTGTAATTCTTGCACCCCCCCCCCAAATATTCATTGCTTTTTCACAAAGAAAACTGCAAGGACTATGTGAGTAAATACGGTTTTCTCTTGAGTCCTCGTCATTGTGCAGTTTCTTGAATGCACTGACTTTAGTTTGAAGTGCTTTGCTTTCCTAAAACACAAAAATATAATTTTCAGTGTGTCTTATGATGTTGGACATCTTGCACATGAGCTCTTTGATCTGCTCTGCTTTTATTCTTTTTATTTCATTCTTAAAATCCTTTTCTGATTTACAAAGAAGATATTGCATGGATGTTTGTGTTCTGTACGGAGTGGTGTAATAGGCAATGACAAAAAGCAAGATATTGTCACAGGGTAGTGACGTGGACGAATGGAGCACACTGCCTGTCGAATAATAAACTGTTTATTTAGGCAAACCTATGCCCAGTAAATGGAAAGTCCGATTACAGTAGCAGTCTTGGACTGATAGCGGCGAACTGAGCGTCGGCTGTCAGCTGACAAGCGGCGGAGCATGTCGGCACTTATGCCCTTGCCATCGAATATTCTAGCGTTATCGCTAGCGACAACGAAGGTTCATGATGAAACAAGCGCTAAAAATACACACACTCAGAGAGGACACAGACAAGCGCTTACTAGCAACTGAAAATTTTATATCAAAGCAAATACTAATAAATTCGGGACGTAGGTTCAAGACGTAGGTTCCCGAATAATCTGTGACGTTCCCAAAGTGGGCGTAATCTTAACGAAACAATATACTAAAGCCTCAAAGCTTCTCGAACATCGTAGGTGTGGTTCGTACTGAACGTAGTGTAACGAAACAATATACTAAAGCCTCGAAGCTTCTCGAACATCGTAGGTGCGGTTCGTGCTGAATGTAGTGTAACGGGCTGATAACAAGACTTGAGGAAAGAAACGTGGCATTGCCCCCCCCACCCCTGAAAAAGGCATCGTTCCAAAGCTTTAACAAAAGACGAAGGTAGAATAATAAAGACAATAAACAATAAGTACAGCAACAACAACAAAATGTAGTCATTAGGTTCGCGCATGATATGACTTGAGGGGCATGACATGGAGGACTTCAGGTCAAGCACGGCGCCATTGAGAGTTAATAATGCCGTCGGCAACCACCCTATAGTCGAGTGGGCTGAGACGCCGAACTACTCTGTACGGTCTGAAGTACCGTCACAGAAATTTTTCACTGAGTCCCTGTCGTCGTATCGGCGTCCATACCCAGACACAGTCCCCAGGCTGATACTCAACAAAGCTTTGTCGAAGATTGTAACAGTGGCTGTCAGTCGCCTGCTAATTCTTGATGCGCAGGCAGGTGAGTTGACGAGCTTCTTTTGCGCGCTGAAGGTAAGTGATGGCGTCGAGGTTCTCTTCGTCAGCGACGTTTGAGAACATAGCGTCGAGCGTCAATGCCGAGCTCTCTCCATAGAACAACTTGTATGGCATCATCTGCGTCGTTTCTTGGACGGCCGTGTTGTATGCAAAGGTCACGTACGAAAGGATTTCATCCCACATCTTGTGCTCAACATCGACGTACATGGCCAGCATATCAGCGATGGTCGTATTAAGACGTTTGGTGAGGCCGTTGGTCTGTGGATGGTAGGTGGTGGTGCGGCGGTGACTCGTCTGGCCGTACCTCAGGATCGCCTGAGTTAGGTCCGCTGTAAAGGCTGTACCTGTATCAGTAATGAGGACCTGTGGAGCTCCATGACGCAGAACAATGTTCCCGAGAAAGAACCTTGCTACCTCGGAGGCACTGCCCTTGGGGAGGGCCTTTGTTTCGGCATAGCGTGTAAGGTAGTCAGTAGCTATGACGATCCATTTATTCCCGGAATTCGACGGCGAGAACGGCCCCAGTAAGTCCATTTTGATTTGCTGGAACGGTCCGCGATGTGGCTCGATGGGCTGGAAAAGTCCGACTGGCCTAATCGGCGGTGTCTTTCGTCGTTGACAGTGGTGGCAGGTCCTGGCTTAGCAAGTGAAGTCGGCGGAAAGTCGTGGCCAGTAGTACTTTTTTTGTATTGTTGCGAGCGTGCAGGAAACACC